TTTTTCCCATAACGAAGCTCTTTCAGCTGGGCTTGGATCTTTTTTGACTGAAAATGAAGATAATCAAATCAGGTTTTGGGTTTTTTAAATTTTAAATATTAAAAAAAATTATGTGAATTCTGAGAACAGCAGAACCTAGATCAGATTTATAATGTAGAATGTCCCCCTCCAAATAATTGTCGATTGCTTTTCCAGCTTCACAAGTCAAACCAACCAAAAGTACTGAGGAAAATGCAAAAGAGCACACACCCAACTAAAGCACATACCTGAGTTAGGACTGTAAAGAACAGCAGCTGGGCTTACACATTTTGGACATGAGCTGTTATTAATACTTGCCATGAAGCATAACTGAAGGCATCAACTTCAAAGTAAACAATCTTATTCTTAGAAGCAAAAAGGCTCCATAGGCTTATAAAAGTCTTTGTAAAGATCAGGGTGTTGCAGGTGTAACTACTTTGGAGCTACCTTCTCAGTTTGTAACCATGCCCTTGAAAGTACAGGCATAGTTATGCTTATTTATATCAGTTTAAGCTGACATTTACTTTATATATTGCTAAATATATCCTTAAAATAATTCTAAGTAGTAGTCTATATATTATTTTATTAATTGAAACAAAAGAAATAGAAATTGATTTTTTGTACTAAACTCAACTATTCAAGGAACATTATTTCACCATTTATCCAAGCATCCTCTCAAAGTAATAATTTGTTTTTAATAAAATACACAATCCCAACTGATAAACAATACACTCTCTTGTATTAATTCATGCCAAGTGTTTCGAAGTCCTTGGAATGGATTAGAAATCTGTTTCACATTTACTGAAAGAGCATTCCATAAACATAATATATTACAAAAGGAGTATATCTTAAGTTGGAATTTTAAAAAAGATTTTATTTCTTACCAATTGATGCAGTCCAATTCAGTGACAGACGTTTGGGAAGGCTGAATGAATCTAAGGAATGGTATTCTGTAAAATCTGAAACTAATAGCAAAGATCAGTGCAGCAAAATTCTTTGAAACAATTTGGATTTTGAAAAACTTAAGAAAAACATTTCTAACCCTGAGAATTTACCAGAAACTTGACTTTCTAAGTACTGATCTCAAAAGGCAGAGACTCTAATGAAGAAAATGCTTTCAATCATCATTAGGAAAATTTTAGTACAGAGGAAATTTTTTATGCTTTGGTTTCTTTCTGGCAAGGTGCAATAACCTTAAGAGCAATTATAGATGCAAAAAACCCAGACTAAAGTAATGTGAATAAATCAGATTCACATGTAATAACTTTTTTTTTGAAATTAAAAGAGAAATAAAGGGAATGCTTATATGATTGCAGGTACTTCTACATTGAGGAATTTGCCAAAAACAGGATCTTTCTTCCCCTGAAATAAGGAAGGATTCTGGAAATCACTAATAATGGATTGTTCCTGTCTCAACTTCAAAACAAGCCTTTGGCAATTCCTGGCTTAGTGTAGACAAGGAGTTCACGTAAATGAAATCAGTTTTATATATGTTATAGATGCATATATCTATAGAATTTTATCATAGGCACGCCTAGATGATTTTACCAGTCTAAAACTAGAGTTTGCAACTTGCTTTCTAATACATTTGAACTGCTTCGTGTGAAGTCACAAAAATAAGTTGGGATGACAGCACTTCAGGAACACTCACCATATAAGCATAATATATATATATTTTTCTACTCATATGTGTTTTTGTATATATATAAAATACACCAGGACCTCAGTACAAAATACTTTGATGCAAATTTTTTTGGGTACATTAGATTTAGAACAGAGAGGAATCTTCCTTAGCTCTTCTGCGTGCAAAGCACCAAGCTTGTTTCCTGACCAGAGCTTGTTTTTGAGGCTCGGGCCGCCCGAGCCGCCGCCGCCCCCGCCCTGCGCCCACAGACACCGCCCCGCGCGCCGCTCGCGGTGCTGCTGACCCCACAGCCCGTGTGCACGGCACCGGAACCGCCGCGGAAAATCCCGTCGGGGGGCGCCGGCGTTGGGGACCATTCAGGCAGTGTAGAAAAAACAGACACGGGTCCTCGAATGCCGACGTCCTCTTTTTCGCGCCATCTCGAGAAGGTCAAGCGAGCCCGCGACAAGCCACTCCCAAGATGGCGGCCGCGGGCGGCGGGCTGCAGTACCGCCCTCTGCCCACAGGGCGGCAGCACTGCCGCCCGCCACCGCCGGGGGCCGCCGCTCGCCTCGGGGCCGCGGGCGGGGCCGGCGGCAGAAAAGAACGGGCGCGATGCCCTCCGGAACCTGCCCTGCAGCAAATGCCCCAAAACATCCCGCGCGGAAAAGAACGCCAGCAAAAAACCCCTGCCTCTAACCCAACAGGAACCAAAAGCAAAAACCTTCTCTTTTAAACTGCATTTCAAGCTATTTTATTTTTATATTTTTCATATTTATATTCACATTCGGATTTATAACGTATATTGATGTGTAATTGTATTTTTATAATTTCTTACATTTATTCCTATTATATTTTATATTTTTACACATATCTTAATATATTGCTTGTATATTTCTATAGTTAGATTTAGATTTCTAAAAGGTTTATAGGGCTTAAAATAAACCCCTGCCTCTATGCAAGTAAAAATTTTTTAAAAAACCCCTTTCTTTAAACTCCGTCTAAATTTATCATTATTTTTCGCATTTATGTTCAAATGTACATTTTTATTGTAGATTGATGTATGGTGTTATTTATAGTCTATCTCTTCCTCATACTTATTTTTATTTACATTTTATGTTTGTATATTAATCTGTATACATTGATTATCTATTTCCATATTTAGATAGATACCAAAACAAAATGTATATTCATCGTTTTTCCATTAAAACCCTGCCTCTAATCAAATAAAAGCAAAAAAATCCCTTTCTTTAGACGCTACTGGAATATTCATATATTTTTTCATCATTATAGTCACATGCGCATTTCTCCTTTATATTGATGTATCTATAAATATATATTATATAGATAATAAGGTAGCAAGATAGATAAATTTTAATTTAAATTCTATTCCGTACATACCACTAATACTCATAGTTACTTACCTTTGAGATTTTATATAGCTCTTAACATATTTAGGATATATTTCTATACATAGATTTCTAATTTTATTTCATTTATATTTATCATTTTTATAATAAAACCCCTACCTACTACCAAATAGACAATTAAAATCCCCTTTACTTTCAACTATATTTAGATATTTCTTTATTTCTATTTTCGATTTTCACAAGTACTTATATATTCTATCACAATATCTTGAGGTACTATATTTCGAGCTATAATTCCTATGACATATAATGTGTCATAATAAGACATATACAGTAAAAAATGCATTATGTACTGTATTGATTCCTATTATTTTGTCATATTTATATATCCACATGTATTAATTATACGTTTCTAAATGCATATTTATATTTATAATCTACATGTATATGTATATAAACATATAAAATACCCTATATCAAACAATATAATACCTAATAGTAATGGATAACATTATTCATGTTACATGTTTTATTTATATGTTTTCCGTTCATATTTAAAATTGAAGTTTTATATTCCTATTTTCATATTTATGCATTCCTTTTGTTTCATTAGAGTTAAAACTTTGCAGTTCTAATCCAGTTCCTCAAACTAAAATGCCAAAACAGCATCAAATTCCCAACAATGCCGTCCAAAATATTCAGAAAGGTTCCACAGCCAACCAACTACCGGCAAAAAAACCCGCACTACACTTCTTTCACTAGCAGTTCTTATCACATCACAAAAATGACACACACATTTCTAAAAAGACCTATAGAATGGTAGTGCGGGTGGGGGGAGGTAGGTGATTCCCAGGAACAATTAGCTAATTAACATTTCAATGTCAGTACTTAGCCCAAGCCAAGTATCGCAGCCAAGCGAAACCCACACAGCAAATCACAAAAAAACATTAAGAAAAAAAAAAAAAAAAGCCAACTAACTTACTATACTCCAAACCATACAACAGACCCCGAACGTTTCTTAGAAAAAAAATAAAAAATCAAACCCCAAAACTCTACCACTACACTAACTCATAAAGAGAACCCAATACTCTATAAAATGAACGAAAAAAAAAACCACCAAATAATTACCGATATAACAAAATCGGAACCACGAAGAAAGAAAAGATTCACCACCGAAATAAAATAACTACCTAAAAAGATCCACCATAGAAATACCCACGTTCCCAAAAACAAAACTAATAAAAAACAACAACCAAATACATCAAACTACCAAAAAAAAAATCATATTAACAACAACAAAATAATTATTCCTAACTCAATAAACCCATAATGCCTCAAACCATCAAAACACAAATACCACTTAGAAATAAGCACGTCGCCAAAAGAGAAATGTAACCATAAACAATAACTCCCAAATTCCCTGCAACAATAAAACACACACGGCAATCAAATAAGCCAAATGAAAAAAACCGCTTATGATATAATAAACAAGAATTCCACCATCAATATTAAAAAAAAACCTCACTAATTAATTTCAGGACACTACCTCAAGCCACCAAAACAAACACTACGCACTCACGCTAATAAAAGCCTCCACAACCGAATTAAAAACCTACCCTCTACTTCACGCTACAACCCAGAAAAACCATTGTAAGCCTTCAAAAACACATCCTTTGAAAACATAAGAAACGATCAAAAAGAAACCTGTTTGGCCGCTGCTTCTCGGCACGAAGGTTTGTCCCTCGGCGCCTCCTTTGAGCAATGCTCCACGTATCCAAATGATCCCCCAAATCCTTTCCGAAGTGCTTACCGTCCTTCCATGAGACAGCCCCGGGAGCCCCCCATAAACTCCTCTCCTCCAGCAGCTCCATGCAAAAGCGATGTGAGAAAAACCCCTTAAATCAGCCCCCGGAGGAGCCGCCCCCTCCTCATCATCCTCACAGCTCGCACCTGGGGCTGCTCTGAGCCCTCCTCATCCTCACAGCTCGCACCTGGGGCTGCTCTGAGCCCTCATCATCCTCACAGCTCGCACCTGGGGCTACTCTGAGCCCTCCTCATCCTCACAGCTCGCACCTGCCGCTGTTGCCGCCCTCCAAACAGCGTCTCTCCCTCTCCAGCACACACCCACTTCTCACAGACACAGATCCAACAGAAATCTGCTACGGGTGTTGGCTTTTCTTAATCCATCTGGTTACACGATTAAAGCACATGCGTGCATTGATGGTCATTGAGAGAAAGCTTTCCCCTGGAGAAAATAGTCCTGTTGGTAGCACACTTTGCTACACCTTCGGAAAAAGCAGAATCGGCACCAACTCCTAAGACCCCTGCTGAGGAACCCGGCCCTCCCTGGGACACCCAAAGCAGCAGACCTCGGAAAAGGAGGGGAAAAGTCAAGCTTGGAGTGGAAAAAGAGGACAAAAGTACAGCAGCCTTTAAAAATGCCTGCACGGAGCAATAGTAGGAACCAGTCCCATTTCTTCTTTCCTTGCTTTCTCTGTGATGACATAAATAGGAAGTAAGAACACGTTAAACAAAAGGCAGAGCTAGGATTTTACAGGTCTTCGTTTCGGCAGACAGCAGAGAACGGAGGCAAAAGGTGCCGGAGAGCCCTTTCTGTTTCCTTCAGCCCCTGCTGAAGTGGGTGTGTCCTGGAGAGGGAGAGACGCTGTTTGGAGGGCGGCAACAGCGGCAGGTGCGAGCTGTGAGGATGAGGAGGGCTCAGAGTAGCCCCAGGTGCGAGCTGTGAGGATGATGAGGAGGGGGCGGCTCCTCCGGGGGCTGATTTAAGGGGTTTTTCTCACATCGCTTTTGCATGGAGCTGCTGGAGGAGAGGAGTTTATGGGGGGCTCCCGGGGCTGTCTCATGGAAGGACGGTAAGTACTTCGGAAAGGGTTTGGGGGATCATTTGGATACGTGGAGCTTTGCTCAAAGGAGGCGCCGAGGGACAAACCTTTGTGCCGAGAAGCAGCGGCCAAACAGGTGAGCCGGTGCGCCTTTGTAGCGGGGACTTTTCTCCTTTCCCTTTTGAATTTCGTCCTCCTGAGGTTGAAATGAGGGGGCTGCCCTGTTGTCCCTCCTTTTAAGGGGTTTGGATTGAGGTAAAATTCTGCCTTTTGCCATCATTTGAGGCAAGCCCCTTCTTTTCTGCTCTTCTAGGGGATGCGATGGAAGGGGAGCCTGGCGCGGCGGGGCTGCCGCGGGACTGCCGGAGCCGCGCCGGTGCGAGCCGTGCGGAGCCGAGGGGAGCTTTGGCCGGGCCGGCGGGCGGGGCAGGCGGCGCGGGCGCTGCGCCGGTGCCGGCCGGTGCCGCCGCTCCGTCCGCTCCGGGCGCGGGGCTCGGGCGCCGCCGGGGCCCCCCGGGCCCGGTGCCGGCCCCGCCGGGCCGGGGGGAGCGGGCGGGGGTCTCCCGGCGCGGCGCCGCCTGTGCCTGCCCGAGGAGCCGCTTTCCTGCCGGGAGCCGTGCTCCGCCCGGTGCCGGGAGCGCGGATTTTCATTTTCCAGCGTTCCTTGCTGTGTTGGTTTTGAGGAGTTTATTGGATCGTTTTCTTTTGTTCGTAGTTGGTGTATGAGAAGGGTCGTGGTGTACTTGTTGGTTGTTATGGTTCTTGGTTCAGGTGCTGATGACAAGGGTTTTTTTGGATTGAGTTTGTTGTTGGATTTTTTTTTTTCTTTTGTGGGATATGTTGGATTTTTTATTTTTCTTTGTATTAGAAAAATATAATTGTAGTTATCTTCTTAAAGGATGTGTTTTGAAAGGTTTACAATGGTTTTTATGGGTTGTAGCATGAAGTAGAGGGTTGGTTTTTAATTAGGCTGTGGTGGCTTTTATTAGTGTGAGTATGTAGTGTTTGTTTTGGTGGGTTTGAGGTAGTGTCCTGTAGTTAATTAGTAATCTTTTTTGGTTTTTTTAAAAATATTGATAATTGCATTCTTGTTAATTCTCTTATAGAGGTTTTATTAATTTGGTTTGTTTAATTGTCTTGGATGTTTTATTGTTACCGGCAATTTGGGTGTTATTGTTTATGGTTACCTTTCTCTTTTGGCGACGTGTTTATTTCTAGGTGGTGTTTGTATTTTGATGGTTCGAGGCATTATGGCTTTATGGAGTTAGGAATAATTTTTTTTGTTGTTAATTTAAGTTTATTTATTCGGGTTTTTTTTTAGTTTGATGTATTTGTTGGTTGCTTTTTATTTGTGTATTTATACGGTGGATTTTTTAGGTAGTTTTTTATTTGGGTACTTTTTATTGTCTAGTGGTTTAGATTTTTTAAATATCGTTTATTACTTTGGTTTTTAAAGTTAACTTAGCAGAGTACTTGTTACTCTTTGAGTTAGTGTGGAGGTATGGTTGTCATTTTTAGTAGCTTTCAGGGTCTGTTGTATGGTTTGAGGTTTAGTAAGTTGGTTGGACTTCTTTTTCTAGTGAGTTTTGTGATTTGTTTTGTGGGTTTCTTTAGGGCTGTTTTTTATTTTTGTTTCATTTTTGTGATGTGTCTCGCTAACAAGTGTTAGTGAAAAGAGTGTAGCGTGGGTTTGTTTTTGCTGGTAGCCGGTTCTATGGTGGTGTATTTTTAGTTTGAGTTGTTTGTTTTTGGTTTTCTGTTGTTAGAGATCAAAGTTTTTATTTTGGGCTTAATTTGTAATTATTTTTAAGGTTTTAGGGTGATTGAGATTTTTGATACGGATGTCCTGTATGATAAGAGTTAATTTATTTGCTTTATGTGGAATTGATGGCAGGGTAGAGGACATTTTTGTATAGAATGTGTATTTTAATCATAGTATTAAAATAATACCATGGTAAGAGGGGCTGTGTTTTATTCTCTGTGTTCGAGGTGGTTTGGCATTTTCTTATAGGTTGGGCTTTTTTTTGTTGGCTCGTGGAGCCATTCTGACTTTTTTTTTGATGAAATTGGTGGGAATTTGATGTTTCTTTTGTTATTTTATTTTTAGGAATTGTATCTTTGCAGTAGTCTTTTTGATTTTGCTTTTTTTTTTTTTTGTGGTGTAGTAGTCTTTTAGAAGAATTTGGCTGATTTTTAAAAATATTTTTGTTATACTTTTCATCTAATGTTGTTGGATTATTACAGATATTTTGGAGTTTGATTTTTTTAGGTTTCATTTGGAGGAATTTATGCTAGATGGTAGGACTGTGTTTTTATTTTTGGGGTAGTTGGTTGTAGGTGTATTGTATGTTTTTCAAATGAAGGTAAAATGAGGTTTGTAATCAGTTGTTAGAGGAATGGAGAAAAATGTATTGGTAATGTTTACAGTGGTGTGTTATTTTGTGGTTTTTGATTTTAGTTGGTATTGGAGTTTTAATAAGTTTGGTACAGTAGTGTTTAATGGTGGAGTTATTCAAGGTATGATAGTTTAGAGGTAATTCTTATTTGTTTTAGATTTGTGTGTAGGTTAGAGGAGGTTGTTGAAGGGCGAGTGTGTTTTGTAGATGAATTTTAGTGCTTCAGTTTATAGAGCATTTTTTGGATGGGAGTTACAGTATTTTGACTTGTTTGGCATCACTGGTGATGTATTGTTCAGGTGGTGAGGAGTATTTGTTGGGTTTTTTTAAAGAAGGTTTATTGTCGATAGTTTTAGATAGTTGTGGTGGGTTGCTTAATTGTTTGATGTTTTTTAGCTTTTTAGTAGTTATTTAAAATATGTTAGAGTTTTTTTTGGGTTTATTGAATTACTTGATTTTGAGGAAGTTCCGATTTAGAATGTATGGTTTTTTTGGCTTAAAATAAAAATGCTATATTTTTAGTGAGACTTATTTTTCTTTTCTTTTCTTACTGCTATATTTTGTGATATTTGTCTTAGGTTAGAATTAGGAATAGCTTTATTTTTATATGTTGAAATGAGGGTGGTGTGTACTGCGTACTGGTGTTCATAAAGGTTTAATATTTTTGTGGTTCTGATGTGTTAGGTTAATGAACTTATAAAGTTTACTAGACTTTTTGTTTTTATTTTGATACAGGTAGGGTTTTCTTCATTTTAAGGATTTCTTCGGCACAGATTGAGAGGCCTTATTGAGGGGAAAGGACAGGGTGTCTCTGTTAATCTATTTGGCAATTTGGATATTGGGTAAATAAAGTTAATGTTTTGGTAGAATTTTTGGGTTTAGTTAATTTATTTATTTATGAATTTGTGTGCCTACAGCTGTAGTGTCTCTGCTGACACTCTGAGTATCCATTCATGTCTGTGTGCATTAGGCAGTCCAGTCGTGTAACACCGAGACCCCCTCTGCAACCAGCCCGCAGACCCGCTCCTTCGACCTCGTGGGAATTCGGGAAGCGGCACACGGCTCTGCGAGGGAGCCTGGATCTCTGTCACTTGAAGGTGTCACCCAGGGAGCTTTCAGGAGCGGCTGAGGAGTTGCTGTAAGTCGAGGAAAAACTAGTGAGGTGGAGCCAGGGTCCGCTATAGTTTTGGGCACGCCACATCACCTCGTCTCCTCTCCATCCAGGCAGATCCTGCCAGGAGGGCGTGGGTGAAGCGTGCAGCCCGAGGAGCCCAGCGTTCTTAGGAGAATGGCGAGTAGCAGGATTGCTGGCTTTTGTCCATTGTGCAGCTAAGATCATGCAGTGATGTTTGGTGTTTTTGATTCTAGCTGAGCAAAGGACCACAGCCCGGTGACCATAGGACATTCCCAGCAGATGAGGCAGCCTCCATTAAAAAGCAACATGGATTCTCATCCCCAGATGTCTGAGAGATAAGTTCAGGGCTAAGGCCCACAGAGGGGATGAAAGCAAAGTGCTGGGAGGGCCTTTTGAAACAGCTTTGGGGGCGGGGATGTTTGAGAAGTGTCCCCTTAGACCCTCTAAAGGGAAAGTGTCCGTTTTGATCACAGTGCTGAGGTGCGCAGGGCAGAGCAGTTCCGGTGTGTGTCCTGTCACTTGTCTCTGGTGCACTCTGTGTTCTTTGGGTCTCTGAGTCCTTTCTTCTTGTCGAAAGCTCTCGCTCCCTGTCCTGTCCCCTCGATGGTCATGTCCTGTCCTGTGTCACGGGTGTCTGCACGTATTTGTCCTGGAGCTGCTCTGCCCTGCTGCCTAGCCTGTAATAGCACAAGTCCTGGGGACTTGAAATTGGTAATGCAGGGTGTATTTGGGCTCTAGTTTTTATTTGTTGATTGCCCTAACATTTCTGGTGCTGTTAAGTTGTCCTGCAGCTGTTTTACACTAGTCCTAACTTCCTTTCAGATGCAGACAGTTCAAATAAGTGGCAGAGAGCCCCAGTGCTGGGTGAGGGTGTTGCCATGAGCAGGTCAGTCATTGTTTGCATTTGCAAGGGAAGCCTAAATGGTTACTGTGTTACAGCAGTGTTCTTTGCCTTTTTTTTAGGAGGTCCAGGCAGATAGCAGCAGTGAAGGCCCAGTGTGCCAGGTGAGCAGTGGACAGAAGCAGTTGTTCTTGCTCAGGTCTCAATGTTTGGTGCAACTCTAAGCATCCATTCTTGTTTGTGTGCTTTAGGGAAGCCACTTGGAGTATGCCAAGCTCCTCTCACCAGCTGGCCGATGGACTTCCTGCGCTTGTGAGTCCTCTGGAAGTATTTCAGGACTCTTGAGATGAAGCCTTGAAATTTTGTATTTCAAGATGGCATCCGGGTAGCCTTTGGCAATGGCCAAGGAGCTGTGGTGAGACGCCGAGATAGAGAGGGGGAGCCAAGGTCCACTTTGGTTTCAGCAGTGCTGAGTCACTTTGTCTCTTCTTAACCCAGGCAGACGATGAGAGATGACGATGGCAGCCTCTGAGCATTGCCAAAGTGTGGGGCCCGAGCAACCAGGCATTCGTACGAGATCGGTGAGTAGCAGAATTGCTGGGTTTTGTCCATTGTGCAGATAAGATCATGCAGTGATGTTTGGTGTCCTTGATTGTAGCTGAGCACGGGACTACAGCCCGGTGACCATAGGACATTCCCAGCAGACGAGGCAGCCTCCATTAAAAAGCGACATGGATTCTCATCCCCAGATGCCCAAGAGATAAGTCGAGGGCTAGGGCCCACGGAGGGGACGAAAGTGAGGTGGTGGGAGGGCCTTTTGAATCGGCTCTGGGGGTGGGGATGTTTGAGAAGTGTCCCTTTAGGCCACCTGAAGGGAAAATGCTTCTTTTGATCACAGTGCTGAGGTGCGCAGGGCAGAGCAGTTCCGGTGTGTGTCCTGTCACTTGTCTCTGGTGCACTCTGTGTTCTTTGGGTCTCCGAGTCCTTTCTTCTTGTCGAAAGCTCTCGCTCCCTGTCCTGTCCCCTCGATTGTCATGTCCTGTCCTGTGTCACGGGTGTCTGCACGTATTTGTCCCGGAGCTGCTCTGCCCTGCTGCCTAGCCTGTAACAGCACAAGTCCTGGGGACTTGAAATTGGTAATGCAGGGTGTATTTGGGCTCTAGTTTTTATTTGTTGATTGCCCTAACATTTTTGGTTCTATTAAGTTGTCCTGCAGCTGTTTCACACTAGTCCTAACTTCCTTTCAGATGCAGACAGTTCAAATCAGTGGCAGAGAGCCCCAGTGCTCGGTGAGGGTGTTGCCATGAGCAGGTCAGTCATTGTTTGCATTTGCAGGGGGAGCCTGAATGGTGACTGTTACAGCAGTGTTCTTTGACTTCATTTTTAGGAGGTCCAGGCAGATAGCAGCAGTGAAGGCCCAGTGTGCCAGGTGAGCAGTGGACAGAAGCAGTTGTTCTTGCTCAGGTCTCAATGTTTGGTGCAACTCTAAGCATCCATTCTTGTTTTTGTGCTTTAGGGAATCATCTCAGTGTGCGCATACCTTTGTCACCAACTGGCTGATGGACCAGGTTTCATGCACTTGTGATCTCGCTGGAAGCATTGCAGGACCCTGTGATGGACCTTCCAGTTTTGCATTTCAAGGCCCCATCCTGGTAGCCCAGAGGAATGGCTGAGCAGTTGCAGTGAGTCGGGGAAGTCGGGAGGAGGAGTGAGAGTCCACTTGTGTTTCAGCAATGCCATGTTGCCTTGTCTCCACTTAACCTAGGTGTACCCTGCAATGACGGCGTCAGAATCCAAGCACGCCCGACGCGTGCAGGCCAAGAACCCGGGCATTCTGAGGAGGATGGTGAGTAGCAGAATTATCAGTTTTTGCTCGATGTACTGTTAAGACTGTGCACTGATGTTTGGTTTTCTTTCTCTTGGCAGACCAAGAAGTGACAGCTATAACTTACCAGGCAGGCAGACGGCGTCCTTCTGCAGCCAACAGGGATTTGCATCCCCAGATGTGTGCAAGATAAGTGGAGGGTCATGACCCACAGAGGGGATAAAAGCAGGGTGCTGGGTTGGGCCTTTCTAGAAGGGCTTTTGATGTCCAAGAAGCGTATACTTAGTCCACCTAAAGGGAAAGTGTCTGTTTTAATCACAGTGCTGAGGTGCGCAGGGCAGAGCAGTTCTGGTGTGTTTCCTGTCACTTGTCTCTGGTGCACTCTGTGTTCTTTGGGTCTCTGAGTCCTTTCTTCTTGTCGAAAGCTCTCGCTCCCTGTCCTGTCCCCTCGATGGTCGTGTCCTGTCCTGTGTCACGGGTGTCTGCACGTATTTGTCCCGGAGCTGCTCTGCCCTGCTGCCTAGCCCGTAATAGCACAAGTCCTGGGGACTTGAAATTGGTAATGCAGGGTGTATTTGGGCTCTAGCTTGTGTCCATTGTTTGCCCTAACATTTTTGGTGCTGTTAAGTTGTCCTGCAGCTGTTTCACACTAGTCCTAACATCCTTTCAGATGCAGACAGTTCAAATCAGTGGCAGAGAGCCCCAATGCTGGGTGAGGGTGTTGCCATGAGCAGGTCAGTCATTGTTTGCATTTGCAAGGGAAGCCTAAATGGTTACTGTGTTACAGCAGTGTTCTTTGCCTTTTTTTTAGGAGGTCCAGGCAGATAGCAGCAGTGAAGGCCCAGTGTGCCAGGTGAGCAGTGGACAGAAGCAGTTGTTCTTGCTCAGGTCTCAATGTTTGGTGCAACTCTAAGCATCCATTCTTGTTTGTGTGCTTTAGGGAAGCCACTTGGAGTATGCCAAGCTCCTCTCACCAGCTGGCCGATGGACTTCCTGCGCTTGTGAGTCCTCTGGAAGTATTTCAGGACTCTTGAGATGAAGCCTTGAAATTTTGTATTTCAAGATGGCATCCGGGTAGCCTTTGGCAATGGCCAAGGAGCTGTGGTGAGACGCCGAGATAGAGAGGGGGAGCCAAGGTCCACTTTGGTTTCAGCAGTGCTGAGTCACTTTGTCTCTTCTTAACCCAGGCAGACGATGAGAGATGACGATGGCAGCCTCTGAGCATTGCCAAAGTGTGGGGCCCGAGCAACCAGGCATTCGTACGAGATCGGTGAGTAGCAGAATTGCTGGGTTTTGTCCATTGTGCAGATAAGATCATGCAGTGATGTTTGGTGTCCTTGATTGTAGCTGAGCACGGGACTACAGCCCGGTGACCATAGGACATTCCCAGCAGACGAGGCAGCCTCCATTAAAAAGCGACATGGATTCTCATCCCCAGATGCCCAAGAGATAAGTCGAGGGCTAGGGCCCACGGAGGGGACAAAAGTGAGGTGGTGGGAGGGCCTTTTGAATCGGCTCTGGGGGTGGGGATGTTTGAGAAGTGTCCCTTTAGGCCACCTGAAGGGAAAATGCTTCTTTTGATCACAGTGCTGAGGTGCGCAGGGCAGAGCAGTTCCGGTGTGTGTCCTGTCACTTGTCTCTGGTGCACTCTGTGTTCTTTGGGTCTCCGAGTCCTTTCTTCTTGTCGAAAGCTCTCGCTCCCTGTCCTGTCCCCTCGATTGTCATGTCCTGTCCTGTGTCACGGGTGTCTGCACATATTTGTCCTGGAGCTGCTCTGCCCTGCTGCCTAGCCTGTAACAGCACAAGTCCTGGGGACTTGAAATTGGTAATGCAGGGTGTATTTGGGCTCTAGTTTTTATTTGTTGATTGCCCTAACATTTTTGGTTCTGTTAAGTTGTCCTGCAGCTGTTTCACACTAGTCCTAACATCCTTTCAGATGCAGACAGTTCAAATCAGTGGCAGAGAGCCCCAGTGCTCGGTGAGGGTGTTGCCATGAGCAGGTCAGTCGTTGTTTGCATTTGCAGGGGAAGGCTAGGTGGTGACTTTGTTACAGCAGTCTTTATTCTTAGGAGGTCCAGGCAGATAGCAGCAGTCAAGGCCCAATGTCCAAGGGGAGCAGTGGACAGAAGCAGTTGTTTTTACTCAGCTTTCGGTTTCTGGTGCAATTCTAAGCATCCTTTCTCATTTTTGTGCTTTAGGGAATCGACTCGGAGTACTCATACCTCCATCACCAACTGGCCAACGGACCGGTGCCAGGAGCGTGGCTTCTCGTTTTCCAGCCTTCCTTGCTGTGGTGGTTTTGAGGAACTTACTGGATGGTTTTCTTTTGTTCATAGTTGGTGTAGGAGAAGGGCCATGGTGTGCTTTTTGCTTGTTACGGTTCTTGCTTCAGGTGCTCATGACAAGTGTTTTTTTTGGGTTGAGTCTTGTGGTTGGATTTCTTTTTGATGGGTTCTTATGTTTTTGAAGGATGTGTTTTTAAAGGTTTATAATGTTTTTTATGGGTCATAGCATGAAGTAGAGGGTAGGTTTTTAATTCGGCTGTGGAGGCTTTTATTGGCATGAGTATGTAGTGGTTTATTTTGGTTGGTTTGAGGTAGTGTCCTGTAGTTAATTATTGAGGTTTTTTCAATATTGATAATTGCATTCTTGTTTATTATGTTGTAGGGGTTTTATTTGTCTTGTTTGATTGCTTTGTGTGTTTTATTGTCTCAGACAATTTGGGAGTTATTATTTATGGTTACTTTTCTCTTTTGGTGACATGTTTATTTCTAGGTGGTATTTGTGTTTTGATGGTTTAAGGCATTCTGAGGTCCTTGAGTTAGGAATTATTATTTTGTTGTTGTGAATATATATTTTTTTTTGTAGTTGGATGTATTTGTTGGTTTTTATTAGTTTGATTTTTGGGAACATGGGTATTTCTATGGTGGATCTTTATAGCTAGGTATTTTATTTGGGTGGTGAGTTTTTTGTTTCTTCATGGTTTCGATTTTTTTTATATCTGTAATTATTTGGGGGGAGTTTAGTTAATTTTTTAGAGTATTGGGTTCTCTTGATGAGTTAGTGTAGTGGTAGGGTATTGTTTGGGTTTTTTTTAGAAACATTTGGGATCTGTTGTATGGTTTGGAGTATAAGAGGTTAGTTGAAGAGTTTTTTTTCTTTTTAGTGTTTTTTTTTGTTTTGTGTGGGTTTTTATAGGTGGGTTTTTTTAATTAATGTTCCATTTTTGTTATGTGATAAGAACTGTTAGTGAAAGGAGCGTAGTGGGGTTTTTTTTGCTGGTAGTTGGTTGGCTGGTGGAGCCTTTCTGAATTTTTTGGATGGTATTCTTGGTTATTCGATGCTGTTTGTTATGGCATTTTATTTTTAGGAATTGGATTATAACTGCAGAGTTCTAACTGTAACTCTAATGAAACAAAACACATGCATAAATATGAAAATGGGAATATAAAACTTCAATTTTAAATATAAATGGAAAACATATGAATAAAACATGTAACATGAATAATGTTATCCACTACTATTAGGTATTATATTGTTTGATATATAGGATTTTGTTTATATAAATACAGATAAATATAGATTATAAATATAAATAAAATCCATATAAAATATCCATATTGAGATGTATAATTAATACATGTGGATATATAAATATAAAAATTACTAAATAATAGAAATCAATACAGTACATAATGCATATTTTACTGTGTATGTCCTATTTTAACACATTCTATGTCCTAAATATTATATATCGAAATACGGTACCTCAATATATTGTAATCGAATATATAACAACTTGTAAAAATCAAAAATAGAAAGGTAGAAATATTTAAATATAGTTTAAAATAAAGGGGATTTTTATTTTGTATTTGGTAGTAGGTAGGGGGTTTTTTATAAAATCTATAAATATAAATAAAATAAAATTAGAAATCTGTGTATAGAAATACATCGTAAATACCTTAAGATCAATATAAAAAATTCAAAGGTAAGTAAAAATCAATATTAGCAGTATCTATGAAGTATAATATAAATAATAATTTGTCTATCTTGCTACCTTAATATATATGATATATATTTATAAACAATCACTATAAAGTAGAAATGCAAATGTGACTATAATGATGAAAAAAACATGTAAATATTCAAGTATCGTTTAAAGAAAGGGCTTTTTTTGGTTTTTATTTGGTTAGAGGCAGGGTTTTAATGGAAGAAAAATGAATATACCTTTTCTTTTGATATCATTCTAAGTATAGAAATATATATTCAATGTATACAGAGATATATAAAAATATAAAATAGAAATGAAAATAAGTATTCCGTATAGATAGAATATAAATAACACCATACATCAATCTACATTTTAAATGTAAATTTGAATATAAATGCGAAAAATAGAGATAAATTTAAACGCAGATTGAAAGATAAGGGGTTTTAAAAAGATTTTTACTTGGATAGAGGCAGGGGTTTATTTTAAGCAATATAAACCTTTTAGAAATAGAAATCTAACTATAGAAATATGTAAGTAATATATTAAGCAATGTATAAAAATGTAAATTGTAATAAAATATAATAGGAATAAATGTAAGAAATTATTAAAATTGCAATTATACATCAATATGCATTATAAATCCGAATGTGAATATAAATATGTAAAATACAAAAATAAAATATATTGAGATGCAGTTTGAAAGAAAAGGTTTTTTCTTTTGGTTCTTATGGGGTTAGAGGCAGGGGGTTTTTGTTGGCGTTCTTTTCCGCGCGGGCTGTTTTGGGGCATTTGCTTCAGAGGACGTTCCGGAGGGGCGGGTGGCAGCGCTTGCGGACACAGAGCGGTGCTGCAGCCGCCGCCCGCGGCCGCTGTCTCGGCAGTGGCGTGTCGCGGACTCGCGTGCCGCGCACACGGGCTGTGGGCTCAGCGGCTCCGCGGGCGGTCGGATTTGGAGCAGGCGCCGACCGGCATCGGCAGATTCGCCTCTCTCTGCCCAGCTCCTGCAGCGGCCGCCATCCTGGGCGCGGCCCCTGCCTCTGCCGCGCTGGGTGCCCGTCCCGTCCCCTCCCGTGCGTTCCCACCGCCTCCCTGCCGTACAGCTAGAAATAAACAACACCAACGTAGAAATATACATAGGTTAAAAAGAAAGGGCTTTTGGGGCGGGGCGGCGTTATTTGGTTCGAGGCAGGGTCTTTTAGTTTCTGTGCGGGATTTTTTGGGACATTTATTTCGGAGGATTTTTCCCAAGGGGATCGATCGCCGCCGCTCTTTTCCCCCTGCCTCCCCTCCGGGCGAGCGGCGGCCCCCGGCTGTGGCGGGCGGCGGTGCTGCTGCCTTGTGGCCACAGAGCGGTACTGCAGCCCCACAGCCAGCGCCCGGCCGAAACCACCGAGACGGGGCGGGAGCGGCCAGAGCGGCCCCAAACCCACCGAGACGGGGCGGAAGCGGCAAGAGCGGCTCCAATTACCACCGAGACGGGGCGGAAGTGGCCAGAGCGGCTCCAATTGCCACCGAGATGTGGCGGAAGTGGCCAGCCCATGGGGAAGTGCCGGAGCGCTCCAAAACCACCGAGATGTGGGCGGAAGTGGCCAGAGCGGCTCCAATTACCACCGAGACGGGCGCGGGGCGGCGGCGAGCGGCGAGCGGGGCGGTGTGTGTGGAGTAGAGGGGAGCGGTGAAGGCGGCTCCGCGGCGGCGCCGGGAAGGATGGCAGCGGCGAGGGCGGCCCGGCGGTCGCGGCGCTCCCGGGCCGGGGCGGAGCGGCGTCGGAACAAGGCTGCGCCCGCCCCTCCTGCCGCCCTCCTGGGAATGGGTTGAGGCATTATGGGTTGTATTGAGGTAGGGATAACTATTTTGTTGTTTGTAAACAAATGTCAGTTGTTCTGGCAGGAACAGGCTGAATGGGGCTGTAGCTCTGCCTACGAGGTCAAGCAGTGATAAGGCCTTGTCAGCACGGTAAAGAAGTGAGCCTCTGTGTAGCACTTCTCTGTAACAGATTAGCAGCTGCTGTAGCATCATTTCCTAGACATTGAGTGGTCTGGGGCTGGATTAGAAAAAAATTAGGTTTAGTGTGTTGTTTAACAGCTGCAGGTGGAGGAACCTGTGCCTTCTGCTCTCCCCACAGCTGTCTCGGCTGTCACACCTGTCCTGAGGAAAGCCCTGTGGAAGGAGCTCGGTGCCGCGATTCAGGACCCTGAGGCCACTGTGAAACTGCAAATTCTTTCCAAGCTGTTGCCACCTCCGGGAAGCAGAGGGCTGCACAACCTGATGGACTGCCTTCCTGCTGCTCCGGAGAGAGCAGGCAATGAAGAGAGGTGGGCAGCGTGTGTGTGTGTGTGCCTCCCCCAGGGCTCAGTTTGTCCTGGGAATCAGTGTGATAGGAATGGGAGCATTAACAGCGTCCTCTCCTCCGAGAATCTGTTGCTTTGCACTTTGGCAGCAAGACATCTTTAAGATATACAAAACCAAGTTAAAATGTTAATAAGAAAATCAACAACTATCTCTCTGCAGCTGGGCCGTGGCAGATGCCATATCCACGGTGCTTAAAAACTCAGAGGAGCTGCATTCCTGGAGGAGACATCTCTTCTCAGCCTGCGTAAAGGGGTTAGTTGCCATGTACAGCAGCAGTAAAGATGAAGGCAAGCAAGAAGTGGAGAGGTCCATGCTGCTGAGGCTAGAGGAATTATTGGTGAGACTGCTTATCTGCTTTGCCACAGAGGGACTGTATGCATATGTGTGATTGGGCAGTTGTAGATTTTGTAAATACAGATTGGACTCGATTTCCTGTTTTATGGATTCTGGTTTCCGTGGATTTTTCATAGCTTTTTCCGAGTCCTGAGAATCCTTTATACGAGGCAGTTTTGTGTTCTTGATGATGACTTTCTGGTACGAATCGCCTTTGAATGTGTGAGTTTGAGGTATTTAGGAGTAAGAAATCAAAGGTTACCAGTGGAATTAAAAAAAAAAAAGTTAAAATTAATTAATTAAATTATTATAAATTAATTAATTTAATTTTTAAATTTAAGTTATCACCTTCTTTTTTAAAAGAAGCTGATAGAGATACTTGTGCCAAGACCCATCTGCCATGCCATCTGAAGTGTGGGGCAAAAGTCTGGTTGATCAGGAATAGAAATCAGACTTTGATCTTGAAGAACACTACTTGGTCACTCCCTCTGTATACTGTTGCCTTGGTTTGAGTTCAGTGAACAGGGATCCCCGTGACACGCAACACTGAAGGTCCCTGGGCAGTGAATGCCTTTGCGCTCTCATGGCTTTTGCTGAGACTCCCTTGTAGGACCTGGCTGACTCTGCAGGCCCTGGGGCCACCTCACAGGGTCCATCCCATCCTGAGGGTGTTTCCAGCCTGGCGAGGTTGGCACCTGCATTCCCAGGACTGTTGGGATGTGCAGCTGTCAGTCTGCTCCAGGCTCTCGCTTTGACTTGTCAAGTTGCGAATCCTTTTGCACTTGAGGCGTTTGAAGAGTATTGAGCCGCTGGGTTTTTGGAACCTACAGCCCAGCTTGCTTTTTGATTCCA